TTCTCTAAGCCTCAATTTCCTTACTTGTAAACTGCAGTGTTCTGAATGTGTGATACGGGGATTATATAGTACTTCTTAGCAAAGTTATTTCAAGGACAAATTGAGTTAATATGTTCAAAGGGCCTGATACACAGAATACACCACAACTAATATACCATTACTGCTATCAATAGAAATGTTATGTGTTTCCAGATTCCTAGTTCAGTTCTCTTGCAATTAAATCAAGGATTCTAGAGCTGGGTATTTAGCTCAGTGGTGCAGCCGCCTGGCTCATAAGCGCAAGGTCCTGAGTTCCATCCCCAGTACCAAAAAAGAAAAATCAAGGATTCTAACTCTTTGAAAGGTAGAAGAAATGGCTCCATAATGCCTGCATGTCTATAAACAAACTAGAAAAGGCAGAATGCTAAGAGCAGAGTTCTGTCCTGAGAGAAGAAGCAATAAATGAAATGGTAAAAAGTTTCCTGGAACCCTTCATAACTAAGTTTTACTTGTAGGATAAAACTATGAGCTTAGAAACCCTTAAATAGCTAAAAAGTGCATTAATCTTACAAAACCAATGAACATTTAGCCAACTATAGCACATACACTTGAGAAGTGTGTTATTTATTCAGTCAACAGATGGGGCTGAGCTCATGTGTATGTGGCTTCTCTAGTAACAACACAGCAGTCCTCCAGGAACCAAAAGCCCAGTTGAGAAATCACCAGGCAAGTCCAGTTGTTTCAAACATGACTCTACAAAAAAATCAATTAAAAGATTGTCTAATTATGTTGATGGGGAGGGGTCAGGAATACAAATATGAATTCTCCATAAATTCTTCAGGTAAGTATAGTGTTTGGCAAACACTGATCCAAAGGAGAATACAGAGCTCTGGGAATTAGCACTCCTGGCTACACACACATGCACGCGCGCGCACACACACACACACACACACACACACTCAACCTCATTCTAGTCATCTTCTCCTGTACCTCATAGTTTCTGGCTTCTTCAATTGGGGCGTTTTGCTGATATCACAAAGCAGTAAGTGAAATAGCTGATTTGCTTTAAAAGAAAAACAGCAACATATCTTTGCTTTTTTTTGTACCAGGGATTGAACTCGAGACCTTCTGCTTTTGAGGCAGGCAGTGGAACCACTGAGCTAAATCCCCAGCCCTCTTTGCTTTTTAAAAAAGTATTCAATTTTATGGCCGGGGATTTAGCTCAGTGGTTTGGGTGCCTGTCTGCCTTGCAAATGCAAGGTCCTGAGTTTGATCCCCATTACCAAAAAAAAAAAAAAAAAAGTATTCAATTTTTTGTTTTTTTGTTTTGGTTTGGTTTTGTATTGCTGGAGATTAAACCTCACACATGCTAGGCAAGTGCTCTCTCACTGAGCTACATCCCTAGCCCTTAAGAATTAATTTTGACATCAAAATACCTTAATATTCGTTTTAACTAGTTGGACACACATATTATTCTTAGGTGGTCTGCTTTAGCAGCTGACTCCATGGTATAAAAACCTCAACAGTACTGTTAGCTATTCCCAGAAAGAAATAATCAAACCAAGGGCCAATAGAGAAGCCAAAATAAGAAATACTGATAAAATTAGAAAATATCATAAGAAGGAATTGGGGGTGCAGGGAGGCAGGATATGTCCCTTTTTCCTATACTTTCTGTCCTTGAGTGGTTCTTCAGTTTCTTAGGTTACAAGGTCAAAAGACTATCGAATATTTCCTAATAATTAGATCACAAAATGAAGAAAATAAGAAAATTGCTGTTCTGATATTTTCTGGTGTTGAATCTCTCCCTCTCTCTATCTCTCTGTCTCTCTCTCTCTCTCTCGTTTCATTCTCTTGCTCTCTCTCTCCCTCTCTTCTTTTCTCCTTTTCCCTCCCTCTCTCTTTCCTCTCTCCTCTTCACTTCACCACACACAGAAATCCCTTTTCAAAGGGGCTTTTTTCCAACTCAGTGAAGTAAAGTCTTTGCCCCTTTGTGGGAAAGGCTCATTAACATTCCCACAGCAGCATCTCTTCAAGGATTCTACTTTTGTAACTCTGTGGGGAGGTCAAGAGGCCACAGAGGAGAGGTAAAAGGGAAAAAATGGTAAACGGGGGAGGGCGGAAGAAAGGAGACCAGGGGAAAGAGCCCTTCCTTTCACAATAAGACTAGCAAGAAGGGGGGAGGAAAACTAGAAAAAGATGAAGGCAGCCGAGTCTCAGGAAAGCGACATGGGACCCCCAAGTCTGCCCCTTGGAGATTTCATGGACTCCTGAGAAAAGGAGAAAGCTGTGTTTCTTCTCTCCTTTATTTTTCCTCGCAAGGCATATAAATGATGGAAACAGTGGGATGAGAGGCTAACAGAGTCCAGTCTATTCCATTGAGGAATTAGAAGCTTTTCTGGCTCCAATGTCTCCATTTCCCTTAAAACAGTCTAGAAATAATGGCTCTTGTCTACACAGAAAAATTAATATAATTAATTAGACAATGTCAGCAATAAGAATTCCAAGGGTGGAGGGTGAGGGAGCCATCCAGGGTCCTGACAGCAAGGATCTGGAAAAATAATGAATATTCCATGAACTCTAAAGCAGAGACCAGAATGCTTCCCAAATCTCTCCAGAAGTAGGTACCTGTAGGGCTAGGAGTGTAGCTTAGAGGTGGAGCATTTGCCTACCCTATGTGAAGCTCTGGGTTCAATCCCCACTGAAGAAAAAAACAGAGGGAGTTTCGTCGCCTGTTGCGCAAGCGCAAGGACCCGAGTTCGATCCCCGGTACCAAAAAAAAAAAGAAAAGAAAAAAAGAAAAGCAAAAACAGAGGGAAACCTGCCTCAGTTACCAACAGAAGCAACTATTGTCTTCCTCTCCTTTTCTCGGAATTTGCCAAAGTATCCTGGACTCGCAGAACAGAAGAAATGCAGAAACCTTTCAATGTGCCCCCCACACTGTGAGCTTTATTTGGCTTTTCTTTTTCTCTGAAGACACACCCATCAGAGATTTACATCACTAAACAGAAAGAGGGAAAATAACTCCCACTTTTCCAACTGATAATGTTTCAGGTGCTCTCTCACCTCTGCCTGCGAAGTAAAGGCACATAAAGTTAGGAGAAGGGGCCCAGGCACTATAGCTAAAAGAGAGGACATTACTGGCATCGTCTGTGCCCAATAGCTTGGTATTGCTCTAGTTCAGGTAAGAACAACACAGTTAGAAGTTAAAAAACAATTTGAGGGCCGGGAATTTAGCTCAGTGGTTTCGCTGCCTGCCCCACAAAGACAAGGACCTGAGTTCAATCCCCAGTATCAGAAAAAAGAAAAAAAAAAAGAACACACCTTACCCTCAAAAAAACAATTCGATCCCCAGCACCTCAACAAAGAAAAGAAAAAGAAGACGAAGAACAAACTAAAAGTACAAATGAGGACCAAAATGTATAATAGAAATGTGAAATAGCAAGAAAAGGTCCAAAGGGGAAGAGGAAGGAGATGGGGTAGAGGAAAGAAGGGAAAGGAAAAAAATGGGAAAAGGAAAAAATGGAGAAAAGGAAACAAAGTCTTTGAAAATAGAGAGGGGCAGAGGGGTTGAAGGGAGGGCAGGAGAATGGGGAAAAAATGAAAACCAAGATATATCATGTACAAGTACAAACTCCCAATGATGAATGTCATCATATTGTATACCTAAAATGTACCGATAAACTTAATGAATAAAAAAGTTGAAGAACAATAAAATGAACCTTAGTGCACAGGTTGAGCTAGAGATACCTGGTTGGTTGTCAAAGGACATTTGCAGAGATAGAATAAGTTTGTGTGTTTGGGTGCTGGGGATTGAGTCCAAGGCCTCATGTACGCTGGGAAAGAGCTCTATCCTTGAGCTATGTTTTCAGCCCACTGAAGATGGAGGAAGACTTAGAGGTCCAATTTCATATCCACAACAAAATCCTTCACACAGAATCTTTGACACTCAGCCTCTGTGTGAACATATTGGAGAGAGATCACAAATCACTAGAGTCTTTTGCACTATTAGAAAGCTTCTTTATATTCAGCTAAAAGAGCCTCCTGACAGGTTTTGCCCTGGGATACCAGGGAACTTATCAGCCATATTCTCAGGAGCATCCCTTTATCTAAGGGAATTGGACAGAATTGGGAGAGATGCAAAGCCACTGTTCCTGTTGCTATTGTAAATGAAATCATTAAGATCAATCATTTTTGGTTTTTTGGGTTTTGGTTTTTTGCAGTACTGAGGACTGAATTCAAGCTCTTCACCCTAAGATACATTCTTTTTTTTTTTGTACCGGGGATTGAACTCCGGTCCTTCTGCTTGCGAGGCAGGCGGCGGGACCACTGAGCTAAATCCCTGGACCCTCTGAGATACATTCTTGACCTTTTTTTGTTTTTTATTTTGTTATTTATTTTGGCTTGAACTTGGGATCTTCCTGCCTCAGCCTCTCAGAGAGCTGGGATTACAGGCTTGCACAACCACACTGACCTGTTTCATCTTTTTTTTTTTTTTTTCATGCTGGCATATTGTTTTCATGATGCCATATTGTATCTTTACCAGCAGAGAATGCACCTGTGTTCCACTCTATATCTGTTACATCACAGCTATGTAACCTTGGATAGGTTACCTAACCTCACTGAGCTTTTCGATTTCTCTACAAGAGGATCCCCTACAAATAGGTGGGGTAAACCTGCTGTGCTAAATAAACTCAAAACTGTAATGTTAAACATAAATGAAAACAGTATATAAACTATCAAAAACTGTGCAAACACTTATTATTTTACTGCCTATCTTTACTCAACCTTTTTGCCAATCTTTTATTTTTGACTTTAAAAAGCTGACTTCTTTCCTCCAAACTAGTATACACCAGAAAATTTTTAGTTGATACCCCAAAACATCCAACAAGAGGGGCAAAGAATTAGGAGGGAACCAAAAGCACTGTGAAGCTGTTGGAAGAAGAGTTAGAAAAACAAGTAAGGGCCAGTCTCTGAACAGACAGCAGGCACAGGGAGAGGCCAGAGTCCGGGCAGGGAGGAGAGGGTTAAATCCTTTCCTCGGCAGTACAAAAGAAAAGAGTGTGCGGAAAGATTAGGATTTTTGCTTTTACAATGGGAGCTGCAGAAGCGTAGGGAAGAAGCCGAAGAAAAAAAGGGGGCGTCTCCCCTTTAAAGACTTGCAGAGATTGAGAAAGAGAGAGTGAGGAACAGAGAATCAGAGAGAGCCCGTCAGTCTCTGGGAAAGGAGAGCATTTCGGCTCACAGTTTTTTGCACTGGGGGGAAAAGGCAACCGCTGGCTTCAGACCCAGGGGGAGATCGTACCGGGTCACTCCGGTGGAGCCCCTCCCTCTCCCACCTCTCCACCCGGGAATGTCTCGGCGAAAGCAGCGGAAACCCCAACAGTTAATCTCGGACTGCGAAGGTCCCAGCGCGTCTGAGAACGGTGGGTGCCGGGAGGGGTGGGGGGCCCGGGAGTCCCAGCCCGTGTGGGTCAGGCCAGGGCAAGGGGAGGGCACCAGGGCCACTGTGCAACCGGGGCGGGGGAGCTCAGTCCCCTCGAGTGTGAAGGAGTCCAGACGCTGGGAGTCGGGGTGATCTGCGCTGGAGAAAAGCTCCCCTGGGCTTTCCTCGGGATTCGTTCTGTTTGTGTTTTCCTTGTTTTTCTCTGGACGAAACGGAGTTTTCAAACTGGCTCTGTATCCCCACCCAAGAGTTTTCTCTCCAGGTCCCCCTTTGCTCACTGGTCTTTGTGGCGTTGCTAAGTAACGTCCTCAGACCTGAAGACCAGTCTCTTAGGGGTGGGATTTTTCCCCCCTCTTCTTTCTGGAGAGTTGGGTTGCAAGAGAATGAATTGGATAAACGCGAAGGTTCCCCTGAGGGAGAAGAGAAAAAAGTTTCTCATTGTTGGGCTGAGCTGAGAGCAGATCAGCTCCCTGAGGGAGAGAGCTAATGTCGGTCAGAACAGCCTGTTTGGGGTGTGTATCCCTATCCTCCGGAGGGGAGGCTGCAGGTCAGGTCTGCGAGAGGAGTTCAGGTTTGTTTCAAGGGAGGTCAAGCTAAAAAAAAAAAAAAAAAGTGCAAGCTAACATAACTGTTAATACATGCATATTATCTTACAAGGGTATTACTATGTATGTTTTTTAAGCAACCGACTTCCTTTATATGAGGGAAAATTGTATGCACTCTTGTAACACTCTAAAAGTGAAGTGCAGACAGCTAATAGAGCGAGGAGGATATTAGGAAGCAACATTGTCCAAAGCCTCAGAGCCAGGGAGAGGCAGCATGAGGACAAGAACTTAGATTTCCAGGTGCTCAGGGCTAGTGTTGCTCATTCCCATAAATCAGGGTTTTGCAAACTTGCTTGATTGTGAGTAGATGTAAATGAGGGTAGGAATCAATATCTTCTGCACGTCCCTGGTACTTCTCAAGATCAAGCAAGGTTTGGACATACTTGTCAGTGGTAGGGCTACCTGTGTGCACTGTAAAAGTCTAGAAGTCCTGGTTCAGGGAGCAGCTATTCACTTAGCAAACAGTTGTTATACACAATAATGTAGCATAGGGTTAGGCACAAATGATCAGACTTCCAGCCAAATCCTGACTCCACCACTTTGCCTTTCTGCCTCTGTTTCCTCATCTGTAACGTAGAGATGAGTATACTAGTTACTTCATTAGGGTGTGAGAATTGAAATGAGTTAATATGTGTAAAGCCTTAGGGAAAATACCCAGCATAAATAAGTGCTTAATACATGCAATAAAGTACCTAACTACTTGGTGCATGTGAGCAGTGTTCATATTGTATGTGAATGCAGCAGCACTTCCTGCAAGGGATGAAATAAAACCAAAGCTCAGGAACCTCTTGGCAAATTTCAGCATTTCTTTATGAGACATGTACCATAAAAACCTCTAGGACAGTGTATATGTAGTGATTAAAACTAATCATGGATTAAACTTGCTTTTCCACCCATTGTGAAAAAAAAAATGACTTCAGGTCAAATCAGGACTCCAGGGCTGGGGATTTAACTCAGTGGTTCTGTCACCTGCCTTGCAAGCACAAGGACCCAAGTTCGATCCCCGGTACCAAAAAAAAAAAAAAAGCAGGACTCCAAGTGCAACAAACAACCTTAACAGACACATGTTAAGTTTGGAGTAGGACATATCCTCCCGGAGCCACTGCTTTGCTGTAATCCCACTGTGCCCATATTTAGAGGTTCTGTGGTGGCAGCATCCTTCCCTCCTGAGACACATTAACCCTCCTTAATGTTGCTATAGGCTGGGATGTTTCCTCCTGTGCACGCTACAGGACACTTCCCCTAGAGCCTTAGAGTTGCCTCACAGTCCTGCTCCCCTGCTGGCTCAATTGTGGAACTATGCTGAACAACCACCTCCAGTCCCAAAAGGCATCTTCTCTCCTTCCTTCCATCTGCTCACTGGGGCCACACATCCAACTGAGGAAATACCTTCTGTGAGGCAGTCAAAAGGTATCTTTAGCAGCTGCCCTGAATGGATTTTCAAGCCCTCTGAGATACAGCTGCCTCTTGGGGATATGGACACTTGGGGTAGGGGTACAGACACACTGGGGTGCTACTACAAAGCTATTGCCATAGACACAATAAAGGCTTCAAAATTCAGTGGAAGCAACAAATTTCAGATGAAATTTTGCCTGTGAGTTATGAAAGACAAAAATAAATGCAAGGAGCCGGAAAACACTAGTAACCTTTGTTAAGATTTGCCTTGAGAAGGTCTAAGGAGTTTCTTACCAGAATTCCTCTGAAAGTGAGATTTGACTTTGGCCGCTTTCATGACCTGAAGTTTCACTGAGTCTTATCTGCAATTTGCAGTGGCTATCTAAAATTTCTTCCTGCTCTTATAAGTTTACAAATATACAAATTACTCCCTCCTAAAAAAAAAAAAAAAAAAAACCCAGGGATTTAACTCAGTGGTTTCGCCGCCTGCTGTGCAAGCACAAGGACCCAAGTTCGATCCCCAGTACCAAAAAAAAAATTAAAATTAAAATTAAAAAAACCAACAAATTACTCCCTCCTTTTTATACACAAGTGCTATATAGGGGGTTGGGGTGTGGCATGATGGTAGAATGCTCACCTAGCATGCCTGAGGCCCTGGGTTATCCTTTACACAGAATCCTTGAGTTACTTGATCAGCTTCTGACTTTCATCCTACTACACAGCATGGCCCCAAATTAGGTAGGAAGGGGCTCAGAATGTAGCTCAGTGGTAGAGCACTTGCTTAGCCTGCAGGAGGCTCTGGGTTCAATTCTCAGCACAGAAAAGGGAAGGGTACTGGGAATGCTTATTTGGGGCCCTCTGTACACCTTTGATATTATGGTCACTATCATAAGCATCAGCACACATTTACTCAGTAGCCTAGGATGCCACTAATGTTCTCAGGAGTTGTTGGCCTTATTTTAAGCAATCCTTACCGTATATGAAAAGCAAGTGCTGAGTTTTTGTTGCACATTTTAAAAGATTAATGTTTGCACTGATCTACCACAGCACCATGAAACAATGTGAAAAACCTGTTTTCCAGCTCTGTTTTTGCTCAACTTCCTGACCACAACACCAAAACCTAACAGAATAGTTATTGCACATAAGTGAGGAGCAGGAAATAGTCTATTTACTTAAAAACTCTGACTAGGGGGAAAAAAATCGCTCCCCCTACAGAGTCCAGAAATCTGAATTACAGAACATAAGGGATATAACTGGGGAAAATGCAAACTAGTACATCTGGGAAATAAAGGAAACGATCAGAAACCCAGATACTTAGTGAGAAGGAGAAACCAGGACACAGCCAAACAGATCTAGAGGGAGAGAAGAGAGTACTTTAGATGGAAGTTGGCAGACAGCAAGAACAGAAAAAGGGGAAAGGAGGCAAAAATAGTTTTGAGGGCTCCGTTCTCCTTACGTCCCTTAGTTGAATGTCATCTGTCTATTGAGCCCCTGGACACATTCAGCTGTTAAGTGCCCTCCTCTGCCCCAGAGTAGGGGTCAGAGAAAACACATTTCTGGGTAAATAAAAAGCAACTCAGACTCAGATAGAACACTGAATAAGAAATCAGGAAACTTGGTTTTCAATCCAGACTAGACCTTGAGGCTCTTCCACCCTGGGCAACCCAACCCATCAAATAACATTCACAGCTAATATTCATAGCCATAGCCATCTATGTCCAGAATTTTGTCATGATCAAACAGAAACTCTTATCTCCTTTAAACAACAAATTCCCATTTTCCCTTCCCCACATTCCCTGGTAGTCTCTATTCTATTTTAATGTCTCTATGAATTTACTAATCCTAGGTACCTTATATAAATAAATCATATATTATTTGGCCTTTTGTGTCTGGTTTATTGCACTCAGCAAAATATTTTCAGAGTTCATCTTTTGTACCATTTATCAGATTCTTTTTTGAGACAGGGTCTTGCTATGTAGTTCAGGCTGTCCTTGAACTCCTGGCGATCCTCCTGCCTCAGCCTTCCAAGTGCTGGGATTATAGGCATGCACCACCATGCCCAGCTATGTATCAGAATTTTATTCCTTTTATGGCTGTCACTTTTTCCTGCAGTACTAGGGATTGAACCGAGGGCCATTCTACCACTGAAGTACATCCCCATCCTTTTTTATTTTTTGAGACAGCGTCTCTTACTAAGTAGCCCAGACTGGTTCAAACTTGCATTCCTCCTGCCTCAGCCTCCTGAAGAAGTTGGGATTACAGGTGAGCATCACCATACCCAGTTTATGCCCCACATTTTAAAGAAGTCTTAGCCTTACAGAGATTAAGAAACTTTCCCAAGATCAGAGATGAAAAATGGCTGGGACTGTAACTCAGGACTAAATCTTCTTTCTTCTTTTCTCCCCCCACCTCTACTACTTGGGATTGAACGCAGGACCTTGGTACTGAGCTACATCTCTACCTTCCCCACCCCCCTTTGAGACAGTCTCATTATATCGATACATTGCCTAGGCTGGGCTCCAAATTGCAATCTTCCTGGCTCTACATCCCAGAGTGCTGGAATTACAGGTGTACCCATACACCTGGCTGAGTCCTTTTATTTTTTTTAAGTCTATAAAGACCTTTATTAATGTTTGACCTAAGTCCTATCCTGGAAATAAATATTTTTTCTCATTTAGCAGCAGGTATGATGTAAATCTTTACTGCTCTATGTCTACTGTGCTGCCTAGGCCATTGATGCAGTAGTAGGTTTGGCTGCATTAGTCTGGTCTGGCAAAGGATTGTGCGAGAGGAGAAGGGAGTGAGGAAGAGAAGATGGGATATCCTAAAAAGTAATCTTAACAACAGTTAGAGAATCAACTTATAATTATGGAAGCTGCCAATTAGTGCCGCTCCAATGTTAACAACAAATAAGCTCAGGCAAGTGCTTACATAGTATGCTTTGTTTCCCCTGTAGAACAAAGCCTTTCATCTTACAATTAGAAACATGGCTGAGTTGTCAATATAAATTTTTAGAAATGCTAAAGATGTACATTCTGTGGGAAAAGCAATACAGTTGTTTAAATGCACAGATGTGAATGATATGAAAATGTATTCAAGGAAGCAGATTTTTCACCAGGAAAAGGACCGGGAGAGCTAAAGTGTGGTTGGAGGCAGAATAGAGAGGGAGCCTAGTGGGAAGATGTAGCACTGAACACTGAGCACTTTTGCCTCCATCCCAGTTTGGCCAGGTTTATTTAGCTCAGGTAAGATTTGTGAGGAACAGGGCGGAAGGTTTGATGGGAAGAACAATTCTCTAATACTGTAGTTCTCATCCTTTGCTGTCCATTGTGTGTATTTCTGTTGCAGAATTTCTTTTTTTTTTTTTTGGTACGGGGTCCTTGCGCTTGCGCAGCAGGCGGCCAAACCACTGAGCTAAATCCCCGGTGCCAATTTCTGTCGTCGTCGTTGTTGTTGTTGTGTTTTTTGTGTGTGTGTGCACGTGTGTGTGTGCTGGCAATTGAACCCAGGTAAAGCAAATGCTTTACCATTGAGCTACCTCTTCTGCCCGAGACATCAGAATTTTTTTTTTTTAAACAGTGCTAGGGATTGGACCCAAGACCTCCTACATTCATACATAAAAGGAAAACACTCCACCACTGAACTACATCCTCCCCAGCTGGGACATCAGAATTTTTCAAAGCTCTAGGGATAATCCTAATGGACAGCAAAGTTGGAGAACCATTGTTCAAATATACCACCCTGCTGAATTTGAGCCCACTTCTAGTTTTCTCTTTGGTTTTCCCAACCATTCTGTCTCAAACCTAAAGCAAGCAGTTTGATGGAGCACCAGATCCAGAGGGAAAGGTACCCAGTTTTCTTTTTCTTTGTCATTTCAGGGCTTTGTGAATTTATTTTTTTTTTAATTTTAAAATATTTTTTGGTACTGGGGATCGAACTCGGGTCTTTGCGCTTTCGTAGTAGGTGGCAAAACCACTGAGCTAAATCCCCGGCCCTGGGCTTTGTGAATTTAAACAAACATGTTCAGGTCTTAGTCCTGTATCCACCCCAGATTTTGCATGTGACCCAGGAGAGCTTTCCTCACCTTATCTGCTATCTAGGGACCCATTACCAGGTTAGTTTGTTCCTGTGTTTGTGACTTTATTCCAGTCTGCATAAGAATCCTGCCCCCTTTTCAGCATAGGCAGTGAGTGTAGTGCTGAGAGGTGGAGGGTTCCTCTTACAGGTGACTGTTGATCCCTCACCTTTCACCAGGGACTAAATTTACCTTAAAGAAGAGTACAGATCAAATTACGCATCAGAAAGCACGTTTCATTAAAGAGCAAGAAAGGGGACAGTGTTTCCCAGGAGAAGATGAAAAGAAAAGGATTTCTTTTCTTGTCAGAAGACTTGACAAAACAGCAACTGGATATCAAATGTTCCATGCTAATTAACAAATGCTCAGTAGAAAGTCTCCATCTGATTCCTTCTCCCTTACTGAGGCCAGAGAGCAAATGGCAGACAGGAGCCACACAGGGCCCTTTTCTGCAGCACTAGGGAAACCACATAAAGTGGATGTGCTTAAGAAAGCCTTGGAGAGGAGTCAAAAACGTGAATGCTCGCTTTCCTGAATTACTGTATGAACCTGGAAAAGTCATTTAACCTCTCCAAACTTCAGTGTCTTTATCTGTGAAAATAAACCACACTACTAATGTGTGGCTTCCCATAATTAAAAGATCCCCCCCCCCATTTGTAAGGGCCTGGCCCAGAAGCATAGAGCCCATCTGTGTTAGAGCTATGATTCACAAGGCTAAGATCCTTAAGATTATCTGAAGTTTCAAAACATAATTCAATAAGATGTTTCAGTTTAAAAAGACTGGCAAAATTTACATTGAAAGTAAAGTGATCATTACTAATATTTTAATTAGGTTGTGTTAGCTCTCCTTCAGAGTCTTCCTGTTCTTGACATATGCCAATGATACCAAGCAACATCTTGCCTCAGAAATTAGTAAGATTAGGGCTGGGGTTAGAGCTCAGTGGTAGAAGACCTGTCCAGCAGTGTGAGGCCCTTGGTTTGGCGAATGGTGTAATCCTAGCACTCTGGGAGGCTGAGGCAGGAGGATCAGAAATTCAAGTTTGGCCCGGGGCAATTTAGGGACTTGGCGGGGCCTTGTCTCAAAAATAAGTAAATAGTGCCAGGGATTTAGCTCAGTGGTTCCACTGCCCCCACCCCCAAGCGCAAGGACCCAAGTTTGATCCCTGGTACCAAAAAAAAAAAAAAGTAAATAGGGCTGGGGATTTAGCTCAGTGGTTCCACTGCCCCCACCCCCAAGCGCAAGGACCCAAGTTTGATCCCTGGTACCAAAAAAAAAAAAAAGTAAATAGGGCTGGGGATTTAGCTCAGTGGTTCTGCCACCTGCCCCACAAGTGCAAGGACCCGAATTCAATCCCCAGTACCAAAAAAAAGTAAATAAATCAGAAGGACTGTGAAAAGGCCTAGTGCAAAGGCCCTGGATTCAACTCCAGTGCCAAAAAAAAAAAAGGAAGAAATTAGTAAGATTACAAGCAACATGAAAAAGATTGTATCTTAGTGTTTGTGTTTTTAAGGTTACTTTGATTATTTTATTTTGACCATATAAATTCTCTAATCAGTTCTTAGGACTCTTCAAACTTAAATCATATGTACATTAATATTATTTGTCAGAAGTTTTTCAATTTTTTTGTTCCCACAATATTGCGAGGAAAACTGTGCTATAAACTATAAAACTGTGCTGAGGGAAATGATGCTATAGCATGGTGTGACTGATCACCATGCCTCAGTTTACCCATCAGGGAAGAACAGAAGAACAGTGCACAGCAGTGCCTGCCTGTAATCCCAGCACTCAGGCGGCTGAGGCACGAGGATTGTAAATCCGACCCCAGCCTGGGCAATTTAGGGACTTACCAAGACCCTGCTCCAAAGTAAAAAATAAAAGGAGGTGGTGGGAGCTGGAGATGGAGGTCTGTGTGAAATCCCTGGGTTCAATCCCCAATACTACAAAAAACAAATGTGGGTTTATTGATCTCCAGTCCACAAAAGCTGATGATGTCCACAAAACCAAGACCCTGTGGTTACTTCTTCCACGTAAGCTAAAGGAATTCAGGAAGAGGGAAAGAAATCTTTTCAGATTCATTTCAGGAAGAAAGGGAATGCAGAGTACCTGGCTCAAGAGGCGTCTTAACCCTACTTACCCTCTCTTTGTATCGGAAGCAGCCTTGGTGGAGGTGAGCTGCCTGGTGTTAGTCATTCCCAGGCATTCAAACGAGGTTGGGGCTGAAAGGGGCTTTTAGCTCCCACTGCATTTTCCTATTGTCTCAGGAGCTCCCCTCCCCCCAGGTCAGAGCAGGGTGGGCCTCCCTAGGCCTCTGCAGGCTAACATCTCCCCAAAACCACCGTCCTTCATAGGAACAGTGCGCAAGTATTGCACGAGGTGACTAGAGAAGGAAAACGGTGGAAAAGAGGGTACTACACAGGAGATGGCTTCTTAAGCTTGGACTCCAAATTAGGTCCCGGCCTGGCGAGCTGTGGAGTAGTTTGCGTGCGCTATTATTCTGAGGGAGAATGGGCGGGAAGCGAAAGGGGCTTAGCGTTCTGCCGAGGGGAGTCCTGGAATGACTTCCTTGGAAATTTTATCCTGCAGCTGCCCACTCTGAGAAACTTTTTTTTGTGGCCAGGGATAGGGGGTGGTAGGGTGGGAATGGAAGTGAGGACCACGAGACAAAACTTAGGAGCATTTTTGGGTGTGTGCTGGTGAAGAGAAGATGTTTGCGGCTTCTCCTCCCCGTCTGGCCGCAGACCTCTGCGGAGAATCTAGACCACCCTTCCTGGCATCCACGTTTTCCAGGCTCAGCGGATCCTTTATCCAAAGAAAACTAAAAGAAGCCTATCGCCGTGCTCTACTGAGCAGGGCTACGTTTCCCACTGTGCCCCTTGAGCTGGGGGGCGGGGGCAGGCCTGAGCAAAGACATCCGGGACGGGGGGAGCCGGCTGAGGACGAGGAAAGGTGGGCCCCACGGCGACTCTCCGCACCTGTCCCCGAGCCTCGGGCAATTCGGCGCCTCGGGGCTCCCGCCCCCCCTCCCCGCGCCCTCCGTGCCTCAGCCTCCTCGGGCTCTCCCTCCCTCTCCAGCAGCTCCTCCCCGGCCGCTCTCCGCCCCACCTCCCCTCTCCAGGCTTTCTCGCTCCAGCTCCTCCCCGCCTCCGCGCCTCCTCGCTCCCCTCCCCCTCCGCCGCCGCTCCCGGCCCCCGCCACCGCCGATCTGCATCTCCGCAGTCCGGGTCGTTGGGTGCAGAGGCTGCCGCAGCCCCGGCGGCCACGGCCGCCTTCCACTCCTGATACCCATTGTCTCCCACCCCGTCCGGCCCTGCGCTTCCCCCACCACCATGGCGCACGAAGCCGGGAGGAGCTCTCGTCTCGGGGGGCCCTGCGGGGAGCCTGCGGAGCTCGGAGGTGCGGTAGGGCCGAACTCGGGGAGAGGTGGGGGTGGAGTGGCCGCGCGGGGCGAGGACTTTCAGTGGGCGGGATGAAATGTGCGATTCTGGCGCTTCGGGCCCGGCCTCTCACCCTTTCCCACTCCCTGGGGCGGAAACGGAGGAGGGCGATGGAGGAGGGGAGTCGCGGGCGCGTGCCCCCCGCTGGCCGGCGCTGGGGCGTCTCGCGTCCTCTCGCGTCAGGTCTGAGCTGCAGCCTTCTGCAGGGCCTGACCGTGAGCTGTCTCTCCACCCCCGGGTAGCGGTTCCTGGGCTCCTTGTTAATTAGAGCCTCGTCTACCCAACCCAACCGCACCACCCACGCTCTCTCTCCTTTTCCCCAGGTGATGCTGGCGAGGGGGACCGCCCCCAAGTCTGTGCCAAATGCTGCGCACAGTTCACTGACCCAGCTGAATTCCTCGCCCACCAGAACGCATGTTCTACTGACCCTCCTGTCATGGTGATAATTGGGGGCCAGGAGAACCCCAACAACTCTTCTGCCGCCTCTGAACCCCGGCCTGAGGGCCACAGTAGTCCTCAGGCCATGGATATAGAGCACAGCAACCCCCCAGATTCCGGGTCCTCGGGGCCTATGGATCCTACCTGGGGCCAAGAGCGGAGAGGAGAGGACTCTTCCGGGCATTTCCTGGTCGCTGCCACAGGTACAGCGGCTGGGGGAGGCGGGGGCCTGATCTTGGCCAGTCCAAAGCTGGGAGCAACCCCTTTACCCCCAGAATCTACCCCTGCACCCCCTCCTCCACCGCCTCCACCTCCACCCCCAGGAGTAGGCAGCGGCCACTTGAACATCCCTCTGATCTTGGAAGAGCTGCGGGTGCTGCAGCAGCGGCAGATCCATCAGATGCAAATGACCGAGCAAATCTGCCGGCAGGTGCTGCTGCTGGGCTCCCTAGGCCAGACCGTGGGTGCCCCCGCCAGTCCCTCAGAGCTGCCTGGGACGGGAACTGCTTCCTCCACCAAGCCCATGCTGCCCCTTTTCAGCCCTATCAAGCCAGTCCAAACTGGCAAAACACTGGCACCTTCCTCTTCCTCCTCCTCCTCTTCAGGGGCAGAAGCGCCAAAGCAGGCTTTCTTCCACCTTTACCACCCACTGGGGTCACAGCATCCCTTCTCTGCTGGAGGAGTTGGACGAAGCCACAAACCTGCCCCCGCCCCCTCCTCATCCCTGACTGGCAGCACAGATCAGCTGATTGCTTCACCTCACCTGGCATTCCCAGGCAGCACAGGACTATTGGCAGCACAGTGCCTCGGGACAGCCCGAGGCCTTGAGGCTGCTGCCTCCCCTGGGCTCCTGAAGCCAAAGAATGGAAGTGGTGAGCTGGGCTATGGGGAAGTGATGGGTCCCTTGGAGAAGCCGGGTGGAAGGCACAAATGCCGCTTCTGTGCCAAAGTATTTGGCAGTGACAGCGCCTTGCAGATCCACCTTCGTTCCCATACCGGTGAGAGGCCCTACAAGTGCAATGTCTGTGGGAACCGCTTTACCACCCGAGGCAACCTCAAAGTGCACTTCCACCGACATCGAGAGAAGTACCCACACGTGCAGATGAACCCACATCCGGTACCAGAGCACCTAGACTATGTCATCACCAGCAGTGGCCTGCCCTATGGTATGTCTGTGCCACCAGAGAAGGCTGAAGAGGAGGTGGCCACACCAGGTGGAGGCGTTGAACGCAAGCCTCTGGTGGCCTCCACCACAGCTCTCAGTGCCACAGAGAGCCTGACACTGCTCTCCACTGGTGCAGGCACAGTCACAGCTCCTGGGCTCCCTGCTTTCAATAAGTTCGTCCTCATGAAAGCGGTAGAACCCAAGAATAAGGCTGATGAAAACACTCCCCCAGGGGGTGAGGGCTCAGCAATCAGTGGGGTGGCAGAAAGTGGCACAGCAACCCGAATGCAGCTAAGTAAGCTGGTGACTTCACTACCAAGCTGGGCACTGCTTACCAACCACTTCAAGTCCACTGGCAGCTTCCCCTTCCCCTATGTGTTAGAGCCCTTAGGGGCCTCACCCTCTGAGACGTCAAAGCTTCAGCAGCTGGTAGAGAAGATTGACCGACAAGGAGCTGTGGCAGTGGCCTCTACTGCTCCTGGAGCCCCCACCACTTCTGCCCCTGCACCTTCATCCTCAGCCTCTTCTGGACCCAACCAGTGTGTCATCTGCCTCCGGGTGTTGAGCTGCCCTCGGGCCCTACGCCTGCATTATGGCCAACATGGAGGTGAGCGACCCTTCAAATGCAAAGTGTGTGGCAGAGCCTTCTCCACTCGGGGCAATCTTCGAGCACATTTCGTGGGTCACAAGGCCAGTCCAGCTGCCCGGGCCCAGAACTCCTGCCCCATCTGCCAAAAGAAGTTCACTAATGCTGTCACTCTGCAGCAGCATGTTCGGATGCATCTAGGGGGTCAGATCCCCAATGGTGGTGCCACAGTCCCTGAGGGTGGAGGTGCTGCCCAGGAGAATGGCTCTGAGCAATGTACAGTTTCTGGGGCAGGGAGCTACCCTCAGCAGCAGCCACAGCAGCCATCACTGGAAGAGTTGTCTGAAGAAGATGAAGAAGATGAGGAAGAAGAGGAAGATGTGACTGATGAAGATTCCCTGGCAGGAAGAGGCTCAGAGAGCGGAGGTGAGAAGGCAATATCAGTGCGAGGTGACTCGGAAGAGGCATCTGGGGCAGAGGAGGAGGTGGGAATAGTGACAGCGGCTGCCACAGGGAAGGAGATGGACAGTAATGAGAAGGCAGCTCAGCAGTCTTCTCTGCCGGCACCTCCACCACCAGCTGACACTCTTGATCAACCCCAGCCAATGGAGCAGGAGAGCAGTGATGTTTTAGGATGCATGGAAGAGGGAAGCAAACCAGAGAGGAGCTCAAGCCCAGTGACAGCACTCACCCCAGAAGGGGAAGGCACCAGTACCCCTTTGGTGGAGGAGCTGAGCTTGCAGGAAGCCATGAGAAAGGAGCCAGGAGAGGGCAGTGGCAGAAAGGCCTGTGAAGTGTGTGGCCAGGCCTTTCCTAGCCAGGCAGCTCTGGAGGAGCATCGGAAGACCCATCCCAAGGAAGGGCCGCTCTTCACTTGTGTTTTTTGCAGGCAGGGCTTCCTTGAGAGGGCTACTCTCAAGAAGCATATGCTGCTGGCTCACCACCAGGTACAGCCCTTTGCTCCCCATGGCCCTCAGAATATTGCTGCTCTTTCACTGGTCCCTGGCTGTTCACCGTCCATCACTTCCCCAGGTCTCTCCCCTTTTCCTCGAAAAGATGATCCCACGATCCCATGAGCCAGTTTTTCTGTACCTGGTACCCTTTGACCCAGGGATCAGAAGCTGAGAGCTCCATGGAAAGACCTCTAGGATTTATGAGCCCTTATTTGTCTTTTTCTCTGAGTTCTTACATAATGTCTCTAGTGGCTTTTCCCTAGTCCCTTAGCTTGGAAATTGTGCTTACATGGGAATGGCCCCCTAAGGAATTCTCCTTTCTTCATTCTTTCTACCTGAAGAAAGTAGATTGTCTACAGCTTTTACATTCTCAAGGGGAGTCCTCTCCTTCCTCCTTTTCCTTCCCCTTTGGCAGGTGCACCTACCTAAGTAGCCATCACTGGACCAACTGCCCAGCCCAAAGAGGCTGGCAGCTGTCTCCAAAGGCCCAGTGCCGCTCTCATTGGTGACAAATTCATACTTCAGGACTGCTTGCCCCAGGACCTTCCTTCCCAGCTGGTAGGGATGGCTTCCCTACCTTTCTGGAAACAATATACTGCTTTCTCGTCACATGCCCTGTGTGCCACGCCTTGGAGCTCCAGCTTCACCTCCACTACACTTCAGGCTGGCACTACCAGTGTTGTTTAGTCCAGGAACTGTGGGCGGGCAGGTGGTTCCAACAACAAGATCCAGAGAGGCCAAGGAGAAGACAGTCCCACTTCTGTTTCAGCCTCTTGGCACTTGAAACGTTGCATAAAACGCCCGTCCTAGAAAAGAAGTAACATATCGTACGTTCCTTCTCTCTTCTAATCCAGAAGGTGCTGGCAGTGAAGCTGTTCCAGTAATTGGTGTCTCAGCTGAAGAAGGTGGGGAGAATGAAGGGCACAGAACTCTTTCCAGCAGATGCCTTCATAGTCACATTAAGGCCAAGATGTTGGCTGATCAATATGCCAGGACTTCTCCAGCTTCTCATTCATCATTGCTTCTCAACATTGGTAAACAAGCAGATTGCTTGCCAAGAGGTCCCTATTCTGGGAAATGTGAAACTAGTTCATATCTTTAATGAGTTTTGTTGGTGAAGGTGGTTGATGAAGTAATGATAGAAAGCTGAGAAATGTTGCTAAAACAGGGCTTGCTGGGAATTGTAATGAAAAAAATTGGGCATTGATATAAGGGAAGGGACTTGGAATTCTTGTGAATCTGAACATTCTCGTGAATGTTCTTTTGGACTCATAGTGACAGTGTGCAACAGTGCGCCAGGAATCATGGGGGCTTTCCTAAGCACTAGTGTGCTTCTAGTTTTAGATAACGCCCTCTTTTATTCCCTAACCCTTTGTATTTTCCTCATCTTTCTCTCAAGGTCCCTTTCCTCCCTTTTTGCCTGATCATGGACTGAGGATTATGTCTTTGGCACTGTCTGGTTCTTAGGTTCCCAGACTTGGGGAGACGAGCTCCAGGTGTTCCTCCCTGCCTCTCTGTCTTGTAATGAGGTGTAGTGCTTACTCTTAACATAGGAGCCTTTGGAACTGGAGTTCTGAGGAGGAGAAAGTGAAGGTTTTGCTGTTGACTAATGCTGACTTGAATGATGGCTTCTCCTCCAAAGTACAGTAGTGGGCTCCAGCTCTTCTTAACATAGTGAAATGTCAAGAACAGACGGGAGATACTAGTGTCTTTTCCTCTATCATTAAAGGTGTTTTGGCCAGATATTTGTGTGTGTGCGTGTGTGTGTTTTTTATTTCATATCTTAAGTAGCCAGCTGGGGTGTGATACAGGCATTCCCTAACAGGGAGATTCCATTCCCACTACATCTCCTGCCAAAGCTGAACATACGGTGTTGAAATATTTAATTTATTCGGCCTTGTCCTAAAACAACCTCTAGTGAACATAATTTTCCCATTGAAAATTGTTTTTCCTGTGGAGTTTGTGTCCTGCAAAGGTAGGGATTTGCTCATTATGTCCAATCATTTTCTAGGTTCTCTCTTTGACTAGGACCTTCCACCACCAGGCTTTTCTGTTGGTTGGTTGGTTTGGTTTGGTGAGGTTTGGAGGCTGGAAGGTGTTGACTAGTCTTTTCCAAACCCTAGGCCAGTCTTCACGTGTCAGTGAATCTATATAACCCAGATGACTTAAATATGTTGATCCTCCGGGTTGGGGATTTAGCTCAGTGGCACTGCGCCTGCCTCACAAGCGCAAGGTCCTGAGTTTGAGCCCCCATGGCAAAAAAAAAAAAAAAGAAAAAAAAAGAAAATCATTATCCTTGAGATCAGAAAGGGGGAAAATTCAATTCTAATAATTTCTACCAACAAGATAAAGGAGAATTCTTTTTTTTTTTTGGTACCAGGGATCGAACTCCGGTCTTTGTGCTTGCGTAGCAGGCGGCGAAATCACTGAGCTAAATCCCCGGGCCAGGGAGAATTCTTAATAGTAAGAATGTAGAGGAAGCTGGGTGTGGTGCTATATGCCGTAAGTAATCTCAGCACTCTGGGAGGCTGAAGCAGGAGGATTACAGGTTGGAGCCCAGTCTGGGCAATTTAGCAAGACTGTCTCAAAAAAGAGGCCTGGGAGGCAAAAAAAAAAAAAAAAAGTCCTGGGGATGTGGAGATGTAGTTCAGTGTAAAGGCTCTGGTTCAATACCTAGTGTCCGCCCCCCCCCCACAAGAATGTGGAGGAGCTGGAGGGTGCAGCTCAGTGGTACAGTGTGTTCCACTGAGGCTCTGGGCTTGCTCCCCAACTCCACAAATGGAGGTGCAGGGGTGCGGGGGTGAAGCTTTAAAAAAAAATTTTGCCTCTCCACAATTTAGTAAAGTTCCTAAGAGCTTGCTTTCCTAAAGTGAAAATTTCCAGAAGCCAGGCATGGTGGCACACACCTGTAATCTCAGCACTCTGGGAAGCGGAGGCAGGAGGACCACTAGGAGTATGAGGCCAGCCTGGGCAACTTAGCAAGACAGTGTCTCAAAATTTTTAAAAAAGAGCTAAGGAATAAAATAAAACATTTAAAAAGAGCTAAGGATGTAGCTCAGTGCAGAGACCTTGGTTTCAGTCCCCAGTATTGCAATAAAAATAAATTTCCAGAGCTGAGAGAGTAGCTCAGTGGTAGAGCACCTGCTTAGCAAGTCAGAGGCCCTGAATTCAATCCTCAGCACCCACCCCTTCCCCCTCCACGAAAGACTCAAATTTCCTAAATTCGCTAGACTTTTTCTTTGTGAAATGGCAAATCAATTACTCTTAGTGCAAAAGGGGGGGAACCAGTAAAATGATCTGCCCTAAGTCACTCAGCTGATTAGTAGCAAAGTTGGATTAAGAGCCCAGATGGGCAGAAACATCCAGTGCTATGGGATGGTGCTTGCTTCCTGCTACATCGAGACTCCTGATATGAGGTTGGCTGAAAGATGGATGGGAAGGAGGTAAGTAAACCTATTTTGGGCTCAATTCAAGGTAAAAAACTAATATTTGATCCTAGTTACCCCCACCAGAACAGTACAGGTCTTCTTAACGTGTAACTGGGGAACAATAACACATGGGAATCTTGATTGGGAAAGAAAGGGCTGCATTCACTTTCATATCTGGCAAGCTTTTAAAATCTTTTTCCTTTCAGCATGTGGAAGGAGTTGGGTCACTAATCCTTCCATTCCTTTAACCTCTCCCACCCCCATTAGACATAGATAATGCCATTTAACTAATTAAACCAGACTTGCCTTCTCTTTAGGTGCCAGTTCCCATTATGGTAACTGCTGTCAGTGAGCCTTCTATTGGAAACTTCCTTGGGCAGCCCAGCACTGAGCCTGTCTCCTCAACCCCTCTTAGCTCACTTTATTTTCTTTTCTGTCTCCTTTTCATTCATCTTGTTCCTCTCCTGTCTTCCTTTTTCTTCTTTCATTGATGTATCTGCCTTTCTTTTCCTTTCTCTCTCCTTGCTTTCTCCCTTTTTTTCTCTTTCCTCTCTTGACCTCTAATTTATTCTTACAGCTTTTAATTTCTTTTTTCTTGCAGTGAACTCTATCCCTACCCTCATCCCACCATTTCTTACTCTCAACCACTTGTCATTGGATCATCTTTTGGAAATTGAATTAACTCAAACCTATTGGAATGAGTATATAACTGAAGGGAGCTTACAGAACACTTTATATGAAATAAACATAGAGGATACTGTTCAGAAATATGGCCACTATAAGAAAGAAATGGCTTTTTACATTCATTCAGTTAATTTTTGAGGATTTGCTCTATTTTGTAGGCCAAATGTTACCTAGGTATAAAAGTAAATAATAGGGCCGGGGATTTATCTCAGTGGCACTGAGCCTGCCTCGAAAGCACAAGGTCCTGAGTTCGATCCCTGATACTGCAAAAAAAAAAAAAAGGTAAATAGACATTGTGTCTTTTTTTTTTTTGATAAAGACATTGTGTCTTTAAGGTAGCTCAGTCTAGGAGGAGAGAGAATCTAAAGACATACTTTTATATCTAGGTAATGTGACAAATTCTACATGCTGTGGAATCCCAAGGGTCATAACTACATTACTTGACACTGGAGAGGATTGAGGGGTGTACAGTTGTCTTGAATTCAGTTTTCACAATAACCATTACCAAATATAGTAATTGCCTCAATGCATACAATCTAGTTGCTATTTAAGAACATATAAAATCCACTAGGCCCCCTTTAGCAGCATGGAGATACGCTGCTTTTGAGATGCCCCGCCAAGAAAGAACTGCCTGCCTAGCTGCAAGGACTCTGGTTAGCTGACAGCCTTCAACTGTCCCGTTCTTTTGTGTTGAGACAAGGTCTTGCTATGTACAATGGTTCAGACTAGCCTTGAACTCACAGTGATCCTCCTGTCTCATCCTCCCAAGCACTGGTATGACAGGCATGTAGCACCACACCTGGTAGTTGTCTCACTCTTTTCTAGCCAAAAACTGAGCAACATACAAGAAAAAAGGGCTGAGTTAGCTGAAACTCCCTACTTGGGCTGGCAGAGATCTATCCGGGGGCTGAGGATTTAGCTCAGTGTTTTCGCCAGCTGCTGCCCAAGCACAAGGACCCGAGTTCGATCCCTGGTACCAAAAAAACAAAAAACCTAATCAGAGATTTATCAGGTCTGCATGGTGATCCGGCAGCTCTCATCACTCAATTCCACTTTCTCCTCCCCTTCCTTTTATAGAAGTTGTTCTCCAATAAAACTTTGGAACTCCCAATTCTGTCAGCATTTGCTTCTCAGAGAATTCAATCTAAGTCACCTCTGAAAAAGGCCCAGGTTCTATTGGCACATTTTTGTTCCTCACAACTTCTTGTACCTGGGACACTGGTTATCATTCTTGGAACTTAGTCAACCAATGGACTTTGTCTCCTGAAAACAAATTTCACGTGTCTTACTCTCATTTAAATCTAATTTTGACTCCTCTTCACATTTCCTTGTCTTTTCAAACCTTTTATAACAGTATATTAACTAATCCTAGTAGACATTCTGCTTTTGGTTGTACATTTAAAAAGTGAGCTGGCATGGTGGCACACGCCTGTAATCCCAGCACTCAAGAAGCTGAAGCAGGAGGATCACCACAAGGTTGAGGCCACCCTGGGCTACCTAGGGAGTTCAAGGCCAGCCTGAACTACACAGCAAGAGCCTGTCTCAAAAAAATAAAGTATGATTAAGACTTTTAAACATTCTGCCAGAGGGGCCGAGGATTTA